TTTTTTTTTTTGAATGTCCAGAGGACCAGATTGAACTTTTTTGGATTTTTCTACCTGGATTATTGAGCATGCATCAAGATACTTACATAAGCATCTATATTAAATACAGTATGTGATTGAGGAAATGTATTTTTGGAACATTCAAGTATAATTGTGAAAATATGTCTTATATCAGCATAGCTCTTGTCTCTGAAGAAATGTTCATGTGTAACCAACGTATTTTAAGATGAATACAATGCATTCACAGTCACAGACTGTAGTTTGAGCCAAGATGTGAAATAAAGCACAGAAAAGGGCAAATTGTGAAAGTTTAGCATCAAATCTCGCTGGAAACAGAGCTTTTATTTTATTTGGCATGGCATATATGAATTTCTAACTGACTCAATAAATGTTAAACCTGATATAGAAAGATGAAGAGGACCAAAATGTTAACCATTTATTATTATGAGTTTAAACTATAGATATAAAACATTGAAATATGTTCTCAATAGGACTCTTTAATTAATAGGGTAATTAGTAAAGTTTCCATACTTAAAATGATGATAATCAGGGTTGTCTCTGTTACTATTATTTTGTAGGTCAGAAGCTGAAAAGTTTGGAAGCTGCTGCATTGAAACCTCATGGATATGACATAAAACACACTTGACTGCCAAAAACAGCGAGGTCAACATTCTTCTAGAACAAGACATTTTTGAAATATGATCACACTTTCAAGCCCATTGTGCATTTTTAAAGACTCATAGGGACATTTTTTTCATTACTGAGTTCACTTGGGCTTTTACTTATTTCACTTTGATTATAGTTAATGGGGTCTGCGGTAGCTTGGTGGTCAGTGCCGTAGTCTTGTAATCCTGAGGTTGCGGGTTCGAGCACAGTTTGCGTCAGGAACGACATCCGGCATAAAACAAATGCCAAATCTTTCATGCTCAAGGGAGCAGCTGAAATAAACTTACATTTACTTTGATTATAGTTAATAAAATAACTTACAAAAATGAATGAGGGAAGGTTTTCCTAGAGCTCAAATTATGTGAAAGTGATGCCAAAAATATGTGCAAATGCAAAGAGTCTATTACCATGATAATGGCAGGCTCTGAGTTGTCATTGGTCCAGATTCGGACTGACGGATCTTCTGATGCACTTAACCACCACTGTCTGCTGAGGCTCCAGCTCACGCTGCTCACTGGCTTGTCATGACCTACATTCAAAGACAGAAATGGCAAATGAGCCTGGAAATACAAAGTACAGTCACAACATTTACTTTTATGGTATTTTTCGGGCAGCCAAGCAGAATGAAGAAAGGAGGCTGCTGTTAACCTACACCTCAACTTCTGTTCTCTGTCTCTGCTGCCTTCTTGTGGACATTATTTTTCAGTTAAAATTAAATGCAAAACAAATGCTTTGCAGGCCTTTGGCTATTTTTACTGCATTTAATAGATGAGACAGAACTATCAGAGAAAAGCACCAACGTGACTGAAGTTAATCTAAAACACAGCAGAGGATTCTATGAATACTCAGGGCGCACCTATGTAGACAGTCGGACTAGCAGTAAGAGATGACTTGTACAGCAACACCGAGCTGTCGCCAAGACCACACAGGATTTGTTTTCCATCACCTGGGAGGTACAAGGAAAGATAGAATTGTTTTATTAGGTTTTTTGTTTTGGTCAGATTTATTACAACCACAAAAAGGAGTGAGGTTTAAACATCACCGTGACGTGTTTTGTTTGATGGAAGCCATTTGTTTTAAGTCCTTCTGGATGAGTCACTTTGTTTTATGTTGTATTTGTTTTATTTAATACAACTTTTGTTGCAATGACCTGCATTTCAATACCTTTTTGTCTATATTTGTCAGTGTTTTTAATTTTGTTGTGCAGTTTATGTAAATTAAGTTTTTGAACACCTTCCAAATCAAGTCATCAAAACTGACTCACCTGAATATTGAAGGCAGCAGACCTGTTTGTTGGCAATGCTAAGATCAATACATGGAATAGTTGGTGCTGCACTGTCTGCTGGGTAACTGCTGTGGAGTAAACCTCTAAAGGACAAAAAGAAAAAAGAAAAGAAAGACATTTTATTACCACTGACACTAATGATAGTAAAACAAATCCATCCATTTTCTTGACCCACTTCTCTTTTTCAGGTTCCAGGGAACAGGGACCTCACGTACAACAACTTCCTACTGAAACATGGCGTACGCTTAAATTGAGAAAACAGCGTAAGCACAAATAAATCCAGATGTATGAAACGCATGAAACCAAGCGCACTTCCTTTGTACATCCCAATCGCTGTGGAATTGTGTGCACATGAGGAAATACCCAATACCGCCCTTGACATGCCTCCATTTAAATATACAATTAGATATGCCTTGCACCTAAGGAATTGCCTCTCTGCACCATTAAAAAGCATGTAGAGCACGCAGGAAAAATAGAAACGTCATGGAATGTGAGACAGAGACGCTTCTAAATGAGGTAGAAGTGCGTTGAACCAGACCACCTCATGACAACATAGTTGCTTTTGTGCATCACATTTATAGGATGAAAATGCTTCCTGGTAACATAAATGTATTCATCCTTTGACGGTGCTTTTATAGCAATGTGTTGCAGTCGATAGTTTGGATTATATTAGGAAAACCGTCTGTCACTGCAAATTGTGCTTTAATGTTGGTCTGTTCAATTGCGTTGTAGGAAATGTGATATACCTGGTTGACATACAAATAATTCTATATCACACAGCTGACGTGGCTCAGCTCAGGGTCAACTGGCACAGTACCGATCAGTCTTCCAGCACCCTCTAGAATACCCCTATTGCTAGGAACCCCTCAGCAGTTGTATGTATACGGGCAGCACATGAATCCTTGCTGTGTTGAGCTCCAAGACCAGCCGCAGCTCCAAGCACAGTTCCAAAATTGCCCATGGAAACCTAAAATGGCAGTTGAGCTAGTCATCACCGTGGGCCAGAAAATCCTCTGTCTCTAAATACACGCTCTCTGTGTATTGCACAATTTGTTATACTGTATCCTCTAATAAGGCTAAAGTCATTGTTGTTAAATGTATTTTCGGCACCACTTTGTGCATGCTTTTACATCCACTCATCTAATTGCATACATGTGGATGTATTAATTGTTCGCCATGTGTGCCCGGAGTGTACAACAATAGTTGTCTCATCATTAACAGTTTCACACCTTTAAGTGTCACCAATGGACCCATAGAAACGTGCGTACACCAGCCATGAAGTTGGTATGTGGCTGCACACATTTCCACAGTCATTTCATTCTTGATACATCTAAAGCTTTGCATGAAAAAGGGCATATGCTACGTTTTTGTGCATATGCACCCTTTGTACACAAGGCTCCTGGTGTCTATTTACAGCAGTCATTGTGTGAGAGGCCAGGCACACTCTGGACAGATCACAAGTCCATCACAGAGACAAACAAGACATACAGCCATTTACACTCTCATGCACACCTAGGGATAATTTAGAATTACCAATGACTCTAACAGCATGTTTTTGGATGTGGGAGGACAATGGAGTACCCTGAAACAAACATGCGTGCATGAGGAGAACATGTAACTCCACCCAGAAAGGCTTACATATTTTTGGTAGTCTTTTTAGAGGAAGATGCCTTCTCAGCATTTGTTTTGGGTGAAAACATAATTCTTCTGAAAGGCAAAAACAAAAAGTAATGTCATCAAACTACACTTGAACTGTATATTTTCAATATAGTCATTTAGAAATTTTGAGGTAATCTCAGACAACAATTTATGGCCTTAAATATGTAATAGGCCATAGATTAATACAGGGCTCAACTTACTGAGGAAGTTATCTTTGAATGGAACAATTTTTCTAAAATATACAGTTGGCCAAATTAAGTTAAATTCAATATATGCTAAGAAAAAAAAAAGATCACTTCATTCTTGCTGTTTGGACAATCCAAATGATTTTTATTTAATTTTCGTGCACAATGTTCCTGTAATATACATTACCTTGGGGCACTGGTATATCCAGATGACTTCACTTTTGAGTGAAAAACCAGTGACTTTTCCTTTGAACCTTTTGCATAAAAAAGAAACAAAAAACAGGTTCAGAGAAACAGAACTACAAAGTATTAAAAATATATTCCTATGTGGCTTACAGTTTTTTCAAAAGCTTTACTAAAGTTACTAAACTAAAGTTTTCTAATGTGCAACAAACTTCAATGTGTAATTTGTTTAGAACATTTAAATAATAAAAAAGAAAGTTTCATAAAAGAAACACACATTTTAAAAAATGGGAAAAATAAACTAAGAAAGAAAATGTCAAACTTATTAACTGCTCCCTAAACCGGTCTCTCTTGAAAATGAGTTCTCGTGGCTCAATGAGACTACCTGGATAAACAAAGGGTACATTAAAAAAAATAACAATAATAATAATAATAACTGTATCTAGCAACATTTTTTAAATGTTTTTCAGTCAGTATATTATTGGGTAAATACTGAGATAGTTAAGTTTGTGCAACATAAAAAGAAACATGCATAATTTACTGTACTTATTTGTTCCAAAAACACATGGATTAAGACTCTTTACTTTGTGTTTTACAAATTGTCAGAGAATCGTCAGTTACACAAGAAAAGAAAATGTCAGTGGGCAGAGGAGGAATTCTGCTAGATGTGTGTGTTCCTTGAAATCTCAGGTAGCACGTCTTAAAAGTTGTCAGGCCCTTGTGAGCGATAAAGCCACATGGCTATTAAAGTACCTTGGAAAGCCATTATCACTCCCGGACAGTGCGTTAATGTTTGTTACTGCCACTGAAACTGGATTATGTAAGAGGAGGCTACACCAACTTGTTTCAACTTGTTCTCCTGGCACAAGTCCATAGATGAAAATAAAGGTAGTGAACTCAAGTACTGTGTGGTCAGATGAGTCCAAGTTTCAGCTAACTTTAATATAAACAAACATTAGATTATACCAGCCAAACATGAAGAAGACAATTCAGGTTGTTGTAAAAGAAAAAAAAAGCTAACATGTAATGTCTGTAATTGTAAGGAGAGGCAATGGTGTCCACTTTTTACGTATACCACATCATACCATACCATACCATACCATACCATAACATACCATGCCATACCATACCACACCATACCATACCACACCATACCATACCATACCATACCATACCATACCATACCGTACTAGAATTGTATTCGGGTCCGAATAATCCAAACCGACCTGGCCCCAGCCTGCAGCCATCATCACCGAACCCCACCCGATCCGACGAATTAACAGTAATTACAGGTCTGAACCTGAAACCCCGCCAACATTTTTAATTAAGCTTTAAACGCTCATACCACTGACTATTATTAATGGTCGGCGGACACGTGTAGCTGATTAAAGGGGACAGAAGATCAGAGCTGAGGAGCCCTCAAGGTGCATTAAATGCTTCCCCTGCGTCTGCCTTTATTGGACCCTGCTCTGACATGTTGGATATTTTGTGATATCACCTGTTTGGGTCATCTGCTGCGCGTGTCTGCTGCGCGTGTCTGCTGCGCGTGTCTGCTGCGCGTGTCTGCTGAGTGCAGCGGCTGAATAAACGTCCATTTGGGCTGATGGATCGCTGGCAGTAGTCCATCTGAAGCTTAACTGAACTTTTTACCTCTTTCAACCAGTCAGCTTGCGGCAAAATGGCCATGTGCAGCAGATGTAGTATGGCAATCCATGTTTGCATATATTGGATCATTGGCTGCGCACATCCCTGACACAATAAAAAGCCCGACACAACCCAGCCCACACATTAAGCACATTATTATGGCCCGGTCCGAATCCGAGTGAGGATGGGCCGGGCTCCAGGTTCGGGTGAGAAATGACAGTTCTATACATACCATACCATACGCTGGTGAAGATTCTCAGTCGTTTGTCTTTAACTTTTTTTGAATATACCATACCATACAACTTTATTTATAAAGCACTTAAGACAACAACAAGGCCAACCAAAGTGCTGTGCAGCAGAAACAAACAAGTAAAGAGCACAGCAAAAAAAATACATAGATCCAAATGGAAAAAGATAATAAAAAGTGGTTAACATTGTAGAATACAGACAGGTTAAAAACAAAATCACAGTGTCAAAAGCAAGGGAATAAAAGTGGGGTTTTAAGCGAGACTTAAAAAATGTAAGGAAGGGGGGTCTGCCTGACATGCTATAGTAACTCGTTCCACAGTCTTGGACCTGCAACAAAGAAGGCCCTGTCACCTCTGAGCTTAAGACAGGTTCCTGGAACCAATAGAAGCATCTGATCTGCTGATCTCAGAGATCGTTGTGGGATGTATGGCTGTAGAAGATCAGCGAGATAAGAGGGGGCAGAACCGTTAGGAGATTTAAAAACATACAAGAGAATTTTAAATTGAATTCGAAAGTGAACAGGGAGCCAGTGCAGGAAGGCCACAACTGGTGTAATGTGCTCTCTTTTGCCTGTACCAGTTAAAAATTGGGCTGCAGCATTTAGGACAAGTTGTAATTGTGAAGTGGAGTTCTGACCAATTCCAAACAGAAGCACATTGCAGTAATCAAGCCTGGATGTTATGAACACATGTATTACAGTCTCCATGTTATTTTGGACAGAATGGGCTTCAGTTTAAACAGCCGCCACGGCTAAAAATAAAAACAACAGGATTTAACAATCATGTTTACATGTTTACATATACATAAATACATA